ATTTTTTTCCTCTTTATTGTTTTGATTTTTTTCCTCTTTTGCACATTTTATATGGCCATTTGGATGTTACACTGCTGTTGTAAATATGTATAAAATTTTCCTCACTATAAATACAAGGCACTCGCAACTGCAAACTTCTAGTCTCTGTCTGCTGTTTCATGAGTCGTATCTATCTTCTGAGAACTAGCCTATTGACCTTATTGGTTATGATCCATTTGCATTCATTTAAAATATAGTATACTGTTGTTTTTTTACAGATATGCTACATCTGTCAGGTTCAGGAGCTCAGAGGTCGCCGCTTTTCTTCGTAACTGGTTGGTCAAAATGTTTGAACCCGAGTGCATAGTTTACTGGCTGGGAGCAGCTCAACTCCAAGTGATCAACGTTAAACATAACTCGAGTCATTTTAGTCCTAAATCAAGAAGTCAGTAAAAATAACACCAAGGACGGGCCGGATGTCCTTGGTTTGGTACAAACGGTCCTCAGTTCGATGGTGAAATCAGAGATATGGTCCTCACTCTGATGCCAAGATAAGAGCAAACAAACTTTCTCTCAGGATGACCCTGCTTTCAGCTCCATAAACCCTCAGCATAATGCTGCCACCACCATGCATGAAAAAAGGCATGATATATTTAGGCAGTGTGTTCAACTCTCACGTTTTGCATGGAGGCCAAAGCGGATATTTTGATCAGATCAAGTGACCTAAGCAGTGTTTGCATGTGACAGACTGTAAATGGGACATCTGGTGGGGTTAGTGGTTTGGATTCCATATGGGCTAAATACAAACACGTGCTACAGTTTTCTCTCCCTTTTCTGTCATGAAAGCTGTTGATAACTTGGTTCTTTTCACATCACAATTATGCACCAGTGAAAAATCACTTTTGCAAAGCATTGTATTTATCTTTTATGGGAAATCTCCAGATAATTTAGAAGGAATGTTTTGTATTTCTTTTCTTTTTTGCTTTTTTTGTCATTTGTTTTGTATTTTGTTTCAGCAGGTATGCAAGTTTAATTTAACATTTATTTTCACTGAGAGTTTAATATCCACCGGCTGTGCTTTCAGTGTCTTGATGCGACCTACCTTACCAACCACAGCAACGCCGACAAGCTCTTTTGTGACCAACCCCTGGATGATCCACTTGAAGGCCTCTTTCACCTGGATGACATCATCTTTGTCCAGCACTAATCCCTTCTCTCTGTGAGGATAAATCAACCCTGACTGACCAAATCTTTAGAGACAACGACTCTCAACATGTTAAACAGAAGAGAAATCTTTACCTGACTTCCTTCTTTACGTGGAGCCAACAGGAGTGCTGCAAGGTTAGAAATATGACATTGACACATGATGGAGAACAAGATGAAAGAAGTTGTCGTCTGACAGGTACTGACCTCACGCACACAGAGCTGCGCCGGCAGAGAGACGGACAGGACCAGCGTGTCAAACTGGTAGTTTTCGGCCTTCACTGTCTCAGCAATCTATGAAAAAACACCAGTGGACGGCTGGATTTTAACCGTACGGCTGCTGACATTTTAAAAAATCTAAAAGCAAAATGCATTAATTAAAAAAACAGAATACTTTAGGACAGGTGCGCACCTTTTTTGCCTGAGCTGGGCCACATAAATCCTGAAGGATTCCCAAACACACCACACAGACCAGGGCGGCAGAACCCGACTCTGACCCATCAGTCTCTGTGGGATCCGGCTTAGCTCTTTTACAGGGAGGCTCTTCAACAGCTAAAGACAACGCCGCATCATGGGATTTGATGATCTCATGGGTGGAGGTTTGAGGCATTGAATCCTGAGCTTCATTGGTCTCCTTTTCTTTAATGAAAGCCTGTAGTTCTTTAAGCGTCTCCTGTAGAATATGAAACATTTGCAAAATGTCACTGGATGTTGATTTTTTTAAGCTGGATACATTAGAAATAAACAGAAAACAGCAGAATGGTACCTGATGTGCTTGTCGATAAGCAGCCTGGACGCTCACGCAGCAGAACCTGAGGACACAGCGAGCACAGCAGCCAGCTGACAGCAGCTTCTTGACGATGGGTTTATCCTTCTCCTTCAGAGGCAACATCACTGTCATCTGCAGGAAGGGAAACAACATTTGATCAATTCAACTAAAATTCAATGAAAAAAAACCTTAGAACTCGGTTTCTACAGACAGAGGCAGGAAGTAATTAGTTATATTTACTTTAAGGAGACGGTTTACTGTGCCGTACTTCTTACTTTTATTTAGTAGTATTCTTAAAAAGTATCACTACTCCTACTTGACTAAAATCTCTGACTACTCTGTCCTCTGTGAGTAGTGGGAACTATTCCAAAATCAGGTAAGCAGTAATTCTGAGTCATCCTCCAGGTCATAAAAGTCCAAAAAAGTTAAAAAACAATCCACTGGACTCTGTTTCCAAGATTGAAGATGTTTTGCTTCCCATCCAGGAAGCTTTTTCAATTCAAAATGTCAGAAATAGCATTTAGAATAGTGAGTTGGAGGCTTTATACAGGAATGAGTAACTCTAATTGATGCCATCACAAGTATTAATGACTCTCATATAAATTCATATATATATATATATATATATATATATATATATATATATATATATATATATATATACATATAAACAAGGCAAAATCCTCATCTTTTTACCGTCAACAGGCTGCAGCCAAGTCTGAATTCCTCGTTTTCCAGTTAATTTTGTTGAAATTTGTATTTTCCCCCCATTCTCTTTTTCTCCGCCTCGGGCTTCCTTTCTGAGCAAACGATCAACCGGAACAAGTTCTATCTGATATAATATATCTGACGAAATTGTTTTTATTTACTTTTTTTTTTATTTTGAATAAAGATTTTAAATGCCACGATTATCACATTTAATGAAATGTAATGCCAATTAAGGCCCTAATTAAATATATATATTTTTAATGACCTTTTAAAGCCTTGTTTTGGCTTAGAAAACATGCAAATTGAACCGGACGAACGGGTCCAACCCTTTGGAATGGGGGTTGTTTGGGTTTATTTGTTAGCCTGCAATACCCCATACCTGTCTATGTCTGGGAAACGGGGGTCGTTAAAGCGAATTGTTGGCCTGGCTGAAGAGGCGGGGTCCTCTTTCCCCCTGTAAAGCGGGCGGGGCTGCCATGATAACATAGGAATCAACTCAATCGCTGAATTGTAGGTTTTTGAAAGCTGAAACCTGAGCCCACCCCCTCTGTTTAAAGTTTTTTTTTTTTTGTTTCTTAACATAGATGGCTTCATTCCTGGATTTGAAGCGAAACGTCTTAAAACCTGGAAACAAAGTCCAGTGGATTGTTTTTTATCCTTTTTGGAATTAACATTGGAAGTTTGTTACCCTGTCAGTTCTCACTGTAAACATAGGTTTTCTAAGTTTTATTTTTGAAAAAAAATTGGTTAAAGTATCTCTTCAGCATAAATTTGTTCTTTCATATTTATGACCTTTATTTGTATTCTTCAGGCATTTGAAAATGCCAGAACTTGAACATAAAGTCTGTTTGCCAGCATCATTAATAAACATTAAATCTGATGTTTTTATCCAAAACTTTCTCAGTACTCAAGTACCCTTTCTATCGAATACTTTTTTACTTGAGTAAAAACATGTTAAAGCAGAGCTACTCTTACTTGGTCACAGTTTTTGGGTTCTCTGGTCAGACTGAGCATTTCATTTCATTTCATTTCAGGCTGTTTGTGTCCCTTTCTTTTCAAATCCCAATTACAGCCTTACTTTCATTATATCAATTGCACAAGGGGGCATAACCTAAAGGATACTGTTAATATATCAACATATTAAAGTAGTGAGAGGTTAGCATTTAGCGTTAAATACGTGTGGAACTGTGTATTTAATTCTGATACAGCAGTATGCAAATGTTTGAAGAGCCGTCAAACATAATAAAAAAGGATAGTTCATTATATTCTGACAGATTGCACCTGGATTATTTGATTGATATGTCTGTAATAGAAGTAGGAGCACATCTAAAACTCTGAAAACTAGCTAACAGTAAGCTTTGGGAAGTGGAAATCGGGAAGCATACTCAAAGGAAGTTCACATAAAAAAATAATAAAATAAAAATAACCCGAAACTGAAATGAACCTACCCGATACGGAGTTTATTCTGGACACAAGAATAGAAAGAAGCCGAGCAGCATTTGCTTTTCAGTGAGGCGCTTTCTGCATGCCTGCTCCCGCAGTCCAAACTAATCAAACCAGAAAAGAATTAGGAGATAATATATGTCTTTATTAAACGGTATTGGGTAATTTAAAACACATTTTAATTCAAACTATAATCTTATAAAAAAATTATGCAAGTTAAGTCATATTCAAAACAAAAAAACATTATTTTTAAATCACCGCTCGACACATACTGCCTGATTACGTCATCTCCATGCGTCGGGGTCTTGACAGCCGGGTCCTTCCTTTCCTCTGTGGCAGCCGGTGGCTCTGGAAGTTTCTAACGGCACCCGGGGATCACGCCTCAATCTAAGTCCATCCGAGGCCGAACCGCGGGTTTCTAGCCACGAGCCTTCATCTATTCACCTCTTAAGCTTCATATCAATATTTCCCATCGGATATTAAGACGAAATGCCTGAAGCCATGGCGATGCCGAAAGGGGGCAACAAAGGAGGGGCGTATGTGGACCGCGACAAGCCGGCCCAGATCCGCTTCAGCAACATATCTGCTGCCAAAGGTAGGCCGGAATGCTAAAGGGTCTCTGGACCTGCGGATGGTGGGTCTGCTCGGGGCGGTTCCGGTTCGGCAGCGTTATTTTCAGTATTTTAGAGATTTAATTCGGGCTTTATTTATTTTTTCTCAGTGTTAAATAAAAAAACTGCAATTAAAATGTCCCGTATGAGTCTGGAAGCTTCTCTGGAATCATTCAATAATGGGTGTTTGGCTGCTGATGTCCATGACTGGTCAATATCATCTTAGCACTTGGAAGACTGGTGCATCAGAGGGCCTGGACTGATCTACGCATGCATTAAACTGAGAGGCTAAACAAAACTACTTCAGTACTGTTTGTTTCTCAATCATGTATTTTGTTGGCATAAATACAATTTAATCATTTTACTTTTAATAATATTTTGGAGGCTTTGGACAAAGTAGGATTTACAGCCTTGGGGGCCCATATCCTTAGGCCCCTAATTGTAAATGCTCATTACATCAATCATTTAAGGTTCTTAAGAACTGTGATCTTAGTAGGGAAAAATAAAACTGTGCATTACAGAAGCCACAGAAAACAATCCTCAAAGTCATGGCGCTTAAAATCTGCCTATATTTACAATTTTAATTAGAATAAAATAAAAAATCTCTTTATTTTCCCCCAATGGGGAAATTCTGGTGTTTACAGCAGCAAAAAGATTATAGAAAAAAAATTGTCAAATGTGGACCTTAGAAGGGTGTATAAAAATAATATATTAATCAAGAGTTAAATGATAAAGAATGAAATAATTCAATTTGGTTTATTTCTAAAGTGCCAATTCACAACACGTCACCTCAAGGCACTTTACAATTCAACCAGAAAATACGGTTAGATTGATTCAAAGTTTTCTATCTAAGGAAAACCAGTTGATCACATTGAATCGAATGCAATCCCTCACACTAAGCATGCTTGTAGCGACAGTGGAGAGGAAAAACTCCCTTTTAACAGGAAGAAACCTCCAGTAGAACAAGAGATACAAAAAGCAGCTGTAAAAGGCGGCCCTGTCCAGGAAACACACAGCCAGGCAGCCTGACATGGAAGTTAATAATGTACTGTTTAGTGTTTTAACAATATAAAACTAGAATACTAGAAGTAATTAGAATCAAAAGACAGAACCTGAGCTTCTTTTCATGTATTATGCATGAGTCTAAGAGTTTTTAGATGTGTTAACATTTTTCACGACTCTCATTTCAGTTTTGATATAAAAAAAAAAAAGCAAAACTGCAAAATCTGTTTGACTTTTGTTGAATGAAATTAGAAATTTAGAATCCAGTAAAAACTACATCATGGATCAATTAAAACCCAAGCATTGAAAAGCTGTTCTTTCTTCTTAACTTTGAAAACCTAAATAGGGGAAGTAAATGAACTTTTTTTAAATCTCATATACATGCATACACGAATACCTCTTCTAACCATGAAAGATTTATTTGTATTGAATCATTTTAACTATCATCTGAAAAAGGAATTGAAGCTGAAGCCTCCAGCTTGTAAATGCCTTTGTGTTAACAACAACAAAAAAAGAATATTGTTAATGTGTGTGTATATATATATAGATATATATATATGTCACACTTATGTTCTTTGATTACCTTCCGCTACAGCTGGCAACATAAGCATTAATTTACATTAGATTATTTTCTTATTACAATAACTAAATAATTTCAATTCAGCGTTAGGGTCATTCCACAGCTTAACCTTCGAAACAGAAACTCGTCTATTTTTATATTAGTTCTCATTTTACATGGTTCAAAAATAGACAATCCCTCTTTTCTCAACTGAAATAAATCTTGTAAACAAACAGAGGAAACTGTTCATTGCTCTAAAAAGTACCTTTAGTATTTCTGAATATATATAATATCCATGAATTTTTAAGAAAATGAATCTGCAAAGAATTAGTTGGTTCATAATATATGATATTATTCTAATGGCTCTTTTCTAAATCTTGATTATTGGGCTAATGTTAGGTTTATAATTACAAAGATCTAGATTTCAGTATTTTCCTTTATAGGGAAATTATGACTGTTTATTTTGAACCAAAATGGCCTCTTATCACATTGTCCTTATTTTTGCCCTTTAGTCTTTTAACATAAAAATGTCTCAGGATGATAAAATGATCAAACTATCTACTTTTCTTGTTCATCCAATCTTTCTGCTGTAGAGGTGAAATTCCCATCCAGTTGTTGTGTGTTTTTTTTCCCAATCTGACTAAACCTGTGTTTGATTGACAGCTGTTGCAGATGCCATCAGAACCAGTCTGGGCCCCAAAGGAATGGACAAGATGGTTAGTGGGAGAACGTTTCTTTACCTCCTGTCCTGATTTAACCAAATGATTGAGCTGAAGCTGTGTTTTTTTCCAGATCCAGGATGAGAAAGGTGATGTGACCATCACCAATGATGGAGCCACCATCCTGAAGCAGATGCAGGTGCTGCACCCTGCTGCCAAAATGGTGAGACTGCTACTTTGCCCTGTTTCTTTTTTTCCAATGAGGTGACAGAGTTGGTGACGTTTTCTTCCGATCTGTGTTTCAGTTGGTGGAGCTGTCCAAAGCCCAGGACATAGAAGCCGGTGATGGCACCACCTCTGTGGTGGTGATTGCTGGAGCGCTGCTGGATGCCTGCTCCAAACTGCTGCAGAAAGGTCAGACCAGCAGCAATTACTCTGTTTGGATTTTTTTTCCTATGTGTCGTAGAAGCTTGTTTTGTAAAACTTTTATCTGCGTTTTTGCTCTCCGAACCGTTTTGAGATGTTTGGTTTCAGCTTTGTGTTTTCTGCCCTGTGATTGGTCAGGTATCCACCCCACCATCATCTCGGAGTCGTTCCAGAAGGCCGTGGATAAAGGCGTGGAGGTGCTGACCGCCATGAGCCGCCCGGTGGAGCTGGGCGACCGCGAGACGCTTCTCAACAGCGCCACAACATCGCTGTGCTCTAAGGTGGTGTCGCAGTACTCCAGCTTGCTGGCGCCCATGAGCGTGGACGCAGTGATGCGCGTCATCGACCCGGCCACAGCCACCGGGGTCGACCTGCATGACATTAAGATCACCAAGAAGCTTGGGTGAGTGTGCCTCATTTCTCTTCTCTTGTTCTAAACAGTTTTGCTTGTGGCAGCAGTTTTTTTTAATTGTGTGTTTTTGTTCCCAGAGGAACCATTGATGACTGTGAGCTGGTGGAGGGACTGGTGCTCACTCAGAGGGTGGCCAACACCGGTGTGACCCGTGTGGAGAAGGCTAAAATTGGCCTCATCCAGTTCTGCCTGTCCCCTCCCAAAACTGATGTAAGTTGGCGGATTAAATAGAAACCAGAATGTCTGAGATCAGAATGATTCCTCTTTTAGAGATGGATGAATCTCTCTGTCTGGGATCAGAACTGATTTGTTTTCACTTTACTAGATTTCTGTGCTGCGGTATAAAATAAATTTACAATTTTTGGTCTTTAATCACATCAACCAACAAGAGGTAGCCTGATAAACCAGACTAAACGTGAGATTAAATGTGTAATTTAGTCTGGCCCCGAAGAATGAGACCTTGGAAGATTGTTGAGAACAACCGCTGTCTGTTCCTATTGGCCAACGCTCTGACCAATGAGCGCAACTGACTGTGACGTAGGAAGTGCGACAGAAAGCTGGTGGGGGAGTGTAGATAAACAGCCTCTCAGTAAAACGGCGAATACGTCCTTCTCTTCTTGCTCACGTTTCAACGAAAACCACAAGTCTAATCCTTCCAAAAATGATTCCAAAGCTGAGTCAAACCAGAACTGTTCAGTAGTTGTTGCCATCTTCCTTGTTGTGCTTCTCCAGTTTCGTGCAGCCTTGTCGTCGAAACCCCGCCCGCTTTGCATCCAAAAATTAAAAACACATCGCTGCGTTGTGTTTGGCCAGCCAGTTTTAGGGCCTGAGGCATTGATCAAGGCCAGAGGCTCAATATCTCTATATTCTATTTGGGTTTGTTGTGTTTAGGGGATAATCTGAATTTATTTCAGAGTCTCAGACCTTAAAGTAAACAAACTGTCACCATCCAGAAGGTTTGTTGTTTGATAAACTGGCTTCTGTTGTTTTCATTTGGGCTACATAAGCTGGCTAGCTCTGAGCCTGACTCAGTCTGAGACTGTTCTCCCTGCTGCCCTCTGGAAAGAGGCTTCGCAGCTTTCACTGCAGGTGCAGCAGATTCTGCAACAGCTTCTTTCCCACCGCCATCAGAGAGCTGAATGTAGAAAAAACTCTAAATCACGTCACAGACTCTGCATCACGCTGCATATCAATGCGTTTTTGTTTTGCCCCATGTTTTTTCTCCCGCAGTGTTTACATTTGATCACTGCTGCCTTTTAAGAAAATGTAAAAGTCATGAGAGCTGTACAAAACAACATTTCAGGTTGTATACGTTCTGTTTATACAAAATGACAAAGTTTGTCTTAGTCTAAGTTACCATGACAATTAACCCAATTTAAAGCAGTTGTGTTTGTTTATTCAAGCATCAGGGGGCTCAATAAGTGACAAACACTTCTCTAAATCCCTTTCTATTTCCTGACCACCTTAACGGGACTCGGCTCCAAACAGAACAGCTCCAGTCACGCCCTAAATAGACACCCTGCATTGGCTGGGGCTTCAGCAATATTTTAAAACCTCAGCAGATGGCCGGTCTCACTGAGCCTGGTTCTGCTGGAGGATTCTTCCTGTTAAAAAGGAGTTTTCTTCTCCACTGTCGCTACAAGCATGCTTAGTGTGAGGGATTGCTGAAGAGTCAATTAATCGATCAGCCGGTTTTCCTTAGTTAGAAAACTTTAATCAATTTGACTAGTCTGTGTTATATC